TTCGCAGTTTAGCAGATATGAGTAAATGACACTCAGTTGTTTAACATCTGTCTTTTTGTTGATACAGTTGTTATTCATGAAAATGTGGGACATTTCCAGGAATAAACGTTTGGAAAGGTGTTTTTCTTTATCAAGAACTTTGATACTTGTGTAATTCATAGAATGCCCTTTTCATGAATAACAACTGTATCAACAAAAAGACAGATGTTAAACAACTGAGTGTCATTTACTCATATCTGCTAAACTGCGAAAAATTGGAGAACTTACATATCTCCCCAAATTTCAACTCTTCACAACCATAATTAGAATCTGTGTTTTGGCCGTTTCCACCAGTAAATTTCATTCCACTCAAAATATAATAATTCTCTCCTCACGATTTATTAATAATTGTTAATTTAAATTCCCATTAATAATAATATAGTTTATTCAACTGCCTCTGGTCGGTTTAACAAATTCCATCATAAAATTCTGTAAATCTCTTCATCTGAAGTGATTTGGCAACGTTTTTGGCACACGCCCACAATTCGTTCCATCTTTCAATACTGACATTGACATCCTTCGGCCTTCTGTCAAAGGGTTTCATGTCACTCATCAATTCATCATTCCATGACCACTAATTTGTGCAATCATCAGGTGGTTTTCACGATGTAATGTTCTAATTTTTAAAATAATTTTTAATCTGTTTTAACGTGTTCTTGTCATGTTTTGTATAAATTTTGACTATTGTGCAACCTATTCAGCTCTCACCATGTTACTGGACGTTTCCCTCATCATATGCGTAAACAACAATTAGCAACATTCTCACATACTACTGTAAGTTGAGTCAATTTAAATTCATTTTACACCTTTGTTGCTACTGTTATCATTGTAATTGCAGCTCCTGATGATGATGGCAAAGTCCATTGAAAGCTAGAGAGAATTAAAAAAGTATAAAGAGTCCTCTTTGCTTAAATCTTGTCGAAGTACCCAACAAAAAGCGGAAGCTTTAATTTTTCACCTAACTGGTCTAGACGACAATGACCACGTCTCAAGTTACATCCACAGATTTGGGGTTTTTCAATAACATCACAGAACGTCATGGGAACCAGGCAGTAAGAATGATGAAGGACTGGATCAAGGGCAGAAAACGACTGGCACAGGAGATCAATCGACGGATTTTCTTATTAAAATGTAGAAAACATGGCATTACACCACATCACATCACCCACCGTTTAACATCAATCACACACTTACTAGAAAGCCATTCAATAGAAGATGGGATGAAAAATCGTCTGCACAGGTTAGGTGACAAAATACTCACGCTTGAGATATCTTCCTGCCACAGACAGTTGAAAAAACTTCATTCCATACTCAATTCACTCCAAAGTGACATAATTTCTTCCACTTCTCCCTTAATTTTTGATAATTTCAAATATAGACAACTCAGACATTACAATAAAATCTTTCATAACATAAAAAACTCCAACACTCGTAAGTTTGACAGATTGTTGAATGACACCAAAAAAACCTTCCTCAACACTCAACAAAATTGGATAAAAAATCTCAGTAACATTGACATCCCTCATGACATATTAAAATTTCTTTCCTTAGGGCCTAAGTTCAGTGTAGAGCCGATTGTTAACAATGACATTCCAATCAGATCAATCTTAGCGGATGTAGACACAATAGCATCCTCCATAAGTGATGACACTGAAAGAAACATTTTCACAACTCGTTCCACTAACCTCATCACTAACTACTATCATAATAACAATCTTAATAAAAAACATTCCTTTTATCACAACCTTTTAAACATAACCAGAACATTTCTAAAACAACATCCTGAACTTATGGTTACAAGATCTGACAAAGGCAATGTTACAGTGATAATGCTTAAACAACACTATTTAGATCTTTGCAACAATCTCATCAATGATGACCCATCATATCATGAAATTAATAAAGATCCCACACTTAAAGTGGAAAAGAAAAGTAATGACATTGTTAAGGAACTCCTCAGCACTGGACAAATAACCCAAGAACAAAAAAGAACTTTGACTACTTATAACTCTGTCCCTCCAAAATTTTATGCACTTCCGAAAATTCACAAACCTGTACTCTCAGTAAGACCTATAGTTGCATCAATAGGTTCAGCCACCCAGGCTTTGTCTTCATTAATATCGACAACACTAAAATCAGCACATGCAGACAATGATTACTACATCAAAGACTCTTTTGAGGTCTCTCGTCAGTTCAATAGATTGACAATACCAGCCGATCATATTATCGCCAGTCTTGATGTGGTGTCGCTATTCAGCAACATCTATCTGGATGCATGTACAAGAACTATTAATAAACACTGGAATGAGATAAGTCAACACTGCAACATATCTCTAGAATCTTTCACCAACATTATAACATTCCTTTTTCATAACAATTATTTCTCTTTCAACAACAAAATATATTCTCAAACACATGGTTGTCCTATGGGATCTGTTCTGTCACCAATTTTGGCGGAATATGTCATGGATGATCTGCTTGATACAGTTATTCCGACACTACCCTATAACCTCTTCTTCATAAAAAAATACGTAGATGACATTATTTTATGCCTCCCTTCCATAGGTCTGGATGGTATTGTCAGAGAATTCAACAGCTATGACCCCTACATCCAATTTACCATTGAAAAAGAAGATGAGAACCTGTCTGTCCCCTTTCTAGACACAAGACTCATTCGCACCAACAACAACAGTTTATTGGTAGACTGGTACCAGAAACCTATGGCCTCAGGTCGGTTTCTCAATTTTAGGTCATACCATAAACTAGGGATCAAAATCAATTTGGTAAAACAGATGAAAACAAGGGTAATCAGCATCTCAGATAATACCTTCCACACCTCAAATTTACGTAAACTATCAAAACTGTTCATCAATAATGGTTATCCGAAGTGTCTGATTAACAAGATCATTTTTAGTTCACCTTCCAATATTTTGCCGAACTCTGGTGATGCAGGTAATAGTCGCACAACCCCCAATAACGGAACTGATGTAATTCCCAATAATAACATCAATCCTAACAGTACTAGCACCAACCCGGACTCCAGACCTGGTTTTGCTGTCCTGCCCTACATCAAGGAACTGACCCCTAAGCTTATCAGATTGTGCAGTCCTTTGAACTTTCGAATTGCTTGCAAATCCGTCCTCACTATAAACTGCATTTTTTCAAAAATGAAAGACAAAGTCCCGCTGCTTGGCTTAACCAACACAGTCTACTCCATCAATTGCAACAACTGCAACCAAATATACATAGGTCAGACCTCCAGATCTCTTAAAGGAAGGATTACATCACACAAAAGTGATGCTAGGCTTCATCCTGAAAGATGCGCTCTAGCATCTCATGTTAACACAACAGGGCATTCTATGAATTACACAAGTATCAAAGTTCTTGATAAAGAAAAACACCTTTCCAAACGTTTATTCCTGGAAATGTCCCACATTTTCATGAATAACAACTGTATCAACAAAAAGACAGATGTTAAACAACTGAGTGTCATTTACTCATATCTGCTAAACTGCGAAAAATTGGAGAACTTACATATCTCCCCAAATTTCAACTCTTCACAACCATAATTAGAATCTGTGTTTTGGCCGTTTCCACCAGTAAATTTCATTCCACTCAAAATATAATAATTCTCTCCTCACGATTTATTAATAATTGTTAATTTAAATTCCCATTAATAATAATATAGTTTATTCAACTGCCTCTGGTCGGTTTAACAAATTCCATCATAAAATTCTGTAAATCTCTTCATCTGAAGTGATTTGGCAACGTTTTTGGCACACGCCCACAATTCGTTCCATCTTTCAATACTGACATTGACATCCTTCGGCCTTCTGTCAAAGGGTTTCATGTCACTCATCAATTCATCATTCCATGACCACTAATTTGTGCAATCATCAGGTGGTTTTCACGATGTAATGTTCTAATTTTTAAAATAATTTTTAATCTGTTTTAACGTGTTCTTGTCATGTTTTGTATAAATTTTGACTATTGTGCAACCTATTCAGCTCTCACCATGTTACTGGACGTTTCCCTCATCATATGCGTAAACAACAATTAGCAACATTCTCACATACTACTGTAAGTTGAGTCAATTTAAATTCATTTTACACCTTTGTTGCTACTGTTATCATTGTAATTGCAGCTCCTGATGATGATGGCAAAGTCCATTGAAAACTAGAGAGAATTAAAAAAGTATAAAGAGTCCTCTTTGCTTAAATCTTGTCGAAGTACCCAACAAAAAGCGGAAGTATATATATATATATATATATATATATATCAAAGGACAGTGGAAAGTATCTGTAATTACGGCTGAGAGATATGGGAGACGACAAGAAGAAATAAGGATAGGTTGATGTCCCTAGAAGTGGATTACCGGAATTGTCATATTTCTAGGTTACGGTATGCCAGGAATGAAAGGATTAAAGATATTATGAATATAGACCTACCTACATACAATTGAATCCAAGCGACTACTTCAATATGGCCTCCTCCAACGTATACACAAATCCAAATGGCCGAAAAGATTTATGAGTGGATACCGCCAGAGCGTCGCAAACGTGGTAGGATTCCAAGAAGTTGAAAGAAAGGTTTTGAAGAGACTATGACATCCAGGGGATTCCAAGAGGGAGACTGGACAAACCGACGTTTGAGAAGCGGGAAGCGACAGTCGTCGTAAACAACCCGTTTATATATACAGTGTGTCCCAGATCCGCTTCTCTATACATGGATCTCGACTACTGTTATATCTACAGCAAATGTTAAATGGGGAAAGTTTTAGAGGAAACTTAGTGCTATCGATAGCCGGCTTATTTACGATCAATGGGTTTTGAGAATATCAGCAAAAAATCGAAAATGACGGAATTTGTCTTTTGCCAGTACATCCGAAACGGTTAATTTGACAGCTGTCAAAATGTGAAATAATTCGAATATTTTTTTAAGAAAAATGAGATAGCATGTATGACATGTCTCACTCGGCTTTTCTTTTCCAGCAACCCGGCTCAACTTTTATTTTTCTTATGGCCGCCATATTGGATTTTTTGACTTTTGATAATGCGTGTAAAAAATTACCAGTCCACTGATGTCTCACAAGTGCATAAAAGATAGGAGTATCACCGAAATATCATCAGACGTAATGTTATAGTCAAAATCACGAAAGATGACTATTACGTTAGGTACATGTATATCATAAATTGTACTGAAGTAATCAATGGACGTAAGTCGATGATAAAATCACGATGTCAGGAACATAATGACAACAAATTTATATTATGATTTTGCGAAGATAGGTTATTTCACTGATTATTTATTATTATTATTATATAGTGGGTAATTTTTGTTTTGAAAAAAAAACAGTTATGAGTAGAATACCTTAAGATAGGAACACCAAAGACCAAAGTATTATTAGAAAACAACCCAACCTGCATTAACATAACCTAACTATTCATCTTTCAAATATGATCGATCATCCAACATGAAAACAGCGTCTATCTTTGTCGGATACATGCAAATTAGCAATACAGTTTGGTTAGACAATAAAATTCTGTTTGTCTCTGTCTAACATATCTGAAACTTCTTCAAAAGTATTCACAAATCGCTGTCGTTTGTCTTTACTACAGACTAAAATGATGACGTAATTGTCATCTTTCGTGATTTCGACTATATGTAGGTATTAGTTTTTTTTCTAAGGAGGCCACGATTTATTTATCAGAAAATAACATTAATGAGTAAGGGATGAAAAACACACATAAACGCTTTGAATTTTCAGTAGACTATTAACATAAATATCGATTTTTCAACAAGTCAAATGTTTTACTGACAAATTCCCAACTATGAGTGTCTTAAAAAATCGTCGTAAATTTAGTTTACACTTGAAAAAACTTTTTTCAAAATTGTAATGTAATGCAAAATCCAATTATCTAATTTACAGATTTGCAAAATAACGTCCATTTGCATCCAGACATTATTGACAATTGGTGTTTTTCGTACAACCTTACCCAGTGTATTCTTGTTAATGTTTCTAACTGAGCTCAAAACTCTTTGCCGCAGGATTTCTATAGCCGCGAGAGGATCAAATTCATAGACCTCATTCTGTGTGTGACCCCAGAGGAAGAAATCGAAGGGTGAAAGGTTAGGGGTCTAGGACCACAAGACATGATTTAAAAATTCTGGATTTTCATTAGACTTCCTGGTATACCACTCACAGAAGCGCATTTGCCTTGGAAAATCAGTTTTCTTAATTCCTCGAACTATTGTAGGTTTGTATGGATGGTATGTATTCTCTGTACTGTTGATTTTGACACACCAATTTCTCGTTCGATAGTTCTTAGTTTTGTGCTGTCGTACGGGGTACATCCAAATACCTTGCTAAGGTAATGTTGGCGTTTCTGTGTGACTGCAAGTCACATGTCAAACTTTTCTTCATTTGAGTAGAGAATACCGGCCAATTTCAACAAGTTTTGACAATTTTTTACCTATGACTATTTAAAACACAATTTTGATACTTAGAATTATTTAACGTCAATGTCAGAGCCTCCTTAGATGAAAAAAAATGCGTTACTTATTAATTTTATCTTCTGACAAATAAATCACGTCATCCTTAGAAAAAAATTAATGCATAACATTACGTGACATGATATTTCGATGATACTCCACTCTTTCATGTACTAGGCTGGAAATTTTACGCTCTTTTCAAAAATTGAAAAATCCAATGTGGCGGTCATAAGAAAAATGAAAGTTGAGGCAGATTTTGGGAAAACGAAAGACGATTGAGACATGTCATACACGCCATCTTATCTGCCTTAAAAAATGTCCGAATAATGTCACATTTGGCAGCTATCAAATTAACCGTTTCGGATTTACTCTCAAAAAACAAAATTCGACATTTTCGGCCGATATTTCCAAAACCAATTGACCGATCGTAAGTCTGTAGCCGGCTATCGAATGCACTAAGTTGTCTCTAAAGCTTTTCCTATTTAACCTTTGTTGTAGGTATATCAGGAGCCAAGGTCCCTGTATAGAGAAGCGAATCTGGGACACGCTGTATGATACTTAATGAATAATATTCATATTCGTTATTGAATTACCGCATCTGAGTCTATTTATAGAGGTTTTTCAGGCAGCAAATAGTAGCGTATGCACCTATGCAGCACTGCAGTTATTATTATAACCTTATCTACGTGTTGGAGATTACGAAGTGGTACTTAATTTTTTCCTCTTTTTTATGTGCATACATGCAGCGCTAAAAAGCTGTATGGAGAGATAGAAAACGGATACTGAACAAAACTATTCTTATTTTTATTTATTTTGATGGTGAGATTATAAGAACTATCTGAAAAATGGAGTTTTGGCGCTTTTCGCTATTTAATTGACATCCTATATTTTCGCCAACCTGAATTATTGGTTATCAAATATATTGAATGCCGTCTAGTGGAGTAGCCTTTCTATAAGAAAACAGTAATAAATCGTTTAACATGCACAAAAATATACAAAAGATTAAGAGGCATTTATCGACTTGCATTTGTAATGTTTTACATAAAATTTGATGTTTTTCAAAAACGTTTAGAGTTAGGAATAGGATGTTATACATCGATGTATTTAGAGCCTTGCTAATATGGAACAATTGGAATATATACAGGGTAGTCCATTCAAAATACGTTACTTAGTATCTAATTCCAGTACACCCGGAAGTGTCACAATTTTAGCCGAATTTTTCATATTAGTTTTACGATAGCTCCGATTTTTCATAATTAAGGTCATCACCACATTGCCTAGGAACGGTAATGCAGAAGGTCGTGAAATCTGTCGTGTTGCTAATACGTTACACCAGAAAATGTTCGCACATGCTGCTACAATAAGTTGGGTTACTGTTAAATCCAACAAGGGGTTCTATTCGAACATTAAATTTAATATTTTATTTTCATTTTGATTGGAATTAACTGTTCCAATTTTGACGCGACATAGCGTTTTAATGTATTTTAGAATTATCGTTGCGTTCCACCGATGGTTATAAGATTAGCACATCCTTAGTTTCGTTACATTTGCGACAGCATTGCGGTCGGAAAATGTAACAAATAATATTATGCAATACAAATTACCACTGCCTGCGTGTACGCTCAACTATATCATGTAGAAACCTTGCCTTGGAATGTACAACATGCGGTGTTATCAAACGTACCAAAGATGCAATGTTGCATAATTTGTGGCGATCTTGACCTTTCATTTGGGTGTAAAATGAAGCGCCGTTATTACCGATCGGAAACCAATCCTAAACAGCTTCGACACAATTCACAATTCAAAAATGTTTACGCTCAAAATAAAACCATTATTTGGGTGTAAAGAATGAACTAAGGTATATTTTCAATATGCATCTTAATTTAAGGAACTGGTGTAACATATTGGCCACGTGGCATATTGTCGCGTCAGCGTTGCTACGCAACGCGATGATGAGCTTTGCTATCCAGGTGGCTCCTACCTCTTTCTAACTTATGTATACGTCTGTCCATACACACTTCTGTCTTGTACACATTGAACTCAAGCCGTCAGACAAATTTGGTTCTCAGTGTATGCTACTACTTACAATGACTGACAATGCAATAAATGCAAAGTATGAACGCGTGCCCTTCCAATTACCATCTTCTGCTACATGTATGAATGAGATTATAGCAAGATAGTTGATAGGGCAGACTATAATTATTGACAAAGAGTACATCCTCCTCGGTTTGGTAAAATATTTCAGTACTCTATAGAACCACATTACAGGATGGTCTAGAAAAAAAAAACATCTTTATGTGATAGCTTAAGTAATGTTAAGAAGAAAAATAGAAAACGTTTTATCGATGAGTGTAAACCGTATATGTTTGAATTACTTTACATTGACGTTTCGGTCATCACGGGCCCTCTAACTCCATAGTTATCTAATTGGCCTAAAAAGTATCATTGTCACACATTGTCGAAAACAACAAATAGTAGTTTACCCTTATAACACCGGAGGAAATGTAATCAGTAATACGCTGTATAGTAGCGAGGAAAAACAAATAAACTGTCACACGGAAGACAGACAAATACGAGGGGCATGCTGTATATTTTGAGATGCGCATTAATCTGGAGATGTATCGAGAGAGTTATCGCGCTATGATTTACTATGACTTTAAAGTCGATTTAACTGACCATCAATGTATCGAACGGTTACGACAGGCATTTGGTAATGAAGCTCTGTCCCGGGGAAGTGTGCTTCGCTGGTAGGCCGAATTTAACAGGTTAAGCGCCACAATACTGAAAATTTTAATGTCTCCATTGGCCGATCATTTTTTTTCAAGATGTACTTTTATTACTTTCTTCAACCTTCAAATCAATATGTGACACGCGAATCTTGGTCAGCATTGAATTTTTCAAAATGTGAGTCTACGTTGGAGTTTCACGGCCACCAGCAAGATTTTTATCACAAAATGCCATTGTGAGTCCAACGTGGCGTCGCGCCTCGACTTGCTTATTCCTGTTGGTAAATCTATCAAGCGAAGGCGCCGTCGCCGTCGCTCGTGGCTTTTTCTTGTCAGTACGTAGATCAGAGCGGTATAATGGAGTCGTACGAGAAAGAACAACAAGAGCTTGAAAAGTATTGGCAAGAAATTCTGTCGGAGGAAGAATCGGACGAGTCTTTGTTGGGCGACACGTATCTTTCGGACGAGTACCAACCATCTGATTCTAGTGACAGTGAATATGAATCAAGTGCTCCGGAACGGAATCAAAAACGAAAACGTGTGGCCGGAAATACCAAATCGTTGGAACAAGATGTACCAGTGGCGTCCACCAGTAAAAAACAAGAATATACGAATTTCGAAGAACATGTTGATGCTGCTATAGAATCTGTCATTGCCCAACATTCTAAAGACTCCGAAGAGGAAATTTTAGGAGAACCAAAAGTGTCCAATGCAGTGAATGAAGCTATTGTCTGGGGGCCGGTCAACGGCGAAAATTTACAGAAATTTACATTTGAGGACCATGATTCTGCAGGTTTTGATGCACAATTATACGAAAACTTCTACAACAAATCGGCATTTGAATTTTACGAACATTTTGTTGGCGATGGTCTTTTATCCATGATGGTAAGTGTCTAATTTATTTTGTTTCAACTGATTTTGATTTTTTTGAGTTTTTAGGTTGAAAAAACAAATCGTTATGCCCTGCAGTGTCAGGAAAAAATAAGAAAAAGAGCGCACGTATTACCGCTTGGCATAACACTGATGTCGCCGAAATGAAACGATTCCTTGGTATAGTTATATGGATGGGATTATGTCATTTTCCATCTTTTCAGTTATACTGGTCAAAGAATGACATTTATTTGAACAATATCAAAAAAGTAATGTCAAGGAACCGCTTCCAGTTATTGTGGAAAACGCTGCACTTCAACGACAATTCAGTAACAACAGATGACCGTTTGCAGAAGATTGCTCCCTTTAGTGCCTTTTCAAGGGCGACTAAAATTCAAGCAGTATATTGCCAACAAAAGGCACAAATTTGGGATAAAGCTATTCAAACTTTGTCTGGAAGGTGGTTATACCTACGATTTCAACGTATATTGTGGAAAAGAACATGCTGAAGGTAGCAGCGTACCAACAAATGTAGTGATGAAACTTATGGATGGACTGCTTGACAAAGGACGAACACTTGCGATTGATAACTACTATACTTCTGTTACACTTGCACATGCACTCCTGCATCGAAAAACTCATATGATTGGCACGCTGCGTGCAAACCGCAAATATAATCCCAAAAACGACATTTCCAAAAAATTCAAAGTAGGTGAACATGTAGCTGAACAAAGTAATTCGGGCATCGTTGTTCAGAAGTGGAGGGACAAACGAGATGTTCTGATGATTACTACCAAATTCGACGACGAAATGGTGACAATCCAGAAGGCACGCGGTGATGTTGTAAAGCCAAATAATGTCATTGAATATAATAAATATAAAAGCTTCATTGAGATATCAGACCAAATGAAAAACTATAATTCGCCATTACGTAAAGGAATAAAATGGTACAGAAAATTATCTATGGAGCTCTTGACTGGCACAGCACTTATAAATGCTCATGTCGCGTATCAAAGCATTGCCAATGAAAGCATGACGATTACCAAACTCAGCGATGTTGGCCGTGCAAGCAGAAGACGATGTACAGCGTGTTACGCAAAAATAGCAGAAGAGGAAGGAAGACAAGTAAAGTAGCATAGAGGAAAGCAACCAACACCACATTGACATGTGATGGCTGTAAAAAATTCTATTGCCTTGACTGTTTTTTTGTCACACATTCCGTGACAAAAAACTAAATTAGTACTTCAGATAAAATTTTGATATGTTATGTCGTTTTTTTTTTAAGAAAATAAAGCTAATTTTGCGTAAAATGTGTTCTTACTTTGAATATAACGTATAACACAAAAAAATATATATAAATACACAACTGTAATTCATAAATATTATAGGCCATGTGAGTCCTCTTTGACATCACAGAAGCACAGGCCAAGTATAGTTTCTAGACCATCTGGCTGGGCCTGTATTTGAATGGGTTCGAGAAGCCGCCGTGGAGCTACACAGCATTTTGTAATAAACTGGCATGTGAGTCAACGTCGGCATCACGCGGCCCGTATAATATTTTTATGTGTGAGTCCTTGTTGGCTTCTCATGGCACTTAACCTGTTAAAGGAGGGCGCATTTCATTGGCTGAAGAAGAACGTGGTGGTAGGCGATTTTCTAGTGTGACTCCAGAAAGCATTGCTATACGTATTTCATCTGCTAATTGAAGAAGATTCTCACTGCACATATGCGGCTAATGTGGCCACTCTTGGGGTAGGATGCGCAACAGTGCACACAATTTGGCATGATTATCTTCAATTAAGAAAAGTTGTTGGGAGATGGGTGCCACATCACCTTACTGATAATGCCAGCGCCACATAAAAATGCTAGAACATCCGCCTTATTCGCCAATGTGTGACTTCTGGCTATTCAACAATTTGAAAAGAAATCTGCGTGGCTATTAATCAGTGTGTTGAAGATATTCCAAAAAGTGACTAGTTAGAAGCTTCATTTGTGGAAGTTCGGACTACAGAAATGCATTGATGCTGGAGGAGAATACTTTGAACATAAATAAAAAAGTTTTCAAAAAATAGTTTTCAGTTTTCGTGTATCTCAAAATATATATAGCGTGGCCCATGTATTAGATATAATTGTCATTGATATGTACATTGAGAAATGCCTTCGTGGTGGCCGAAACGTCAATAAAAGTAATTTATACATATTGATACGTGCTGTTTAAGTCTTTAGATGAACTTTTCAACATTTAATGGCATACAATATTACACATATATAAAGAAGAATGAAACAGCGAAAAGCAAAAAATAGGCAATTACAATGTGAGTAAAATTTGCTTTTTACTGTAAACTCTTGTTAAGATACGGTACAATGTGCTTCCTTAGTACGTGAGCGCTTTTTCCAAATTATAAGAACAAATACAATTACTGTTCTAACATTCTACAGTTAATTAGCAGAGTTTTTCAGCATTGCAATATAATGTTACGATAGGAACAATAATGGAATAGTTTTAATAATCAATACCAGATAGAATTTTTATAAGAATCAATCCTTTCAAAAAATTTCCTACCAAATTTCACGTTCATAGGTCTAATATTTTCCGAGATCTCGAGATTAATGTGCATCTTCACGCTTTATGAATATGTGCCCTTAACCCGCCTTAATCCAGTTCTGTCACAAAATCCGCCACTAGCTGGTATTAATTGGCCCTAAAAACTACCCCCATGCCAAATATCATGTTCGTTGGTCGAGATATCGCTATTAATGAGTATCTTTATCTTTATGTATAATTGTCTTTAGCCCGCTTTAATCCAGCCCTGCTGTTTTTGGCTGGTATTCTCTTTATCTCAAGATCCATGTTTACAGGTCAAATAGCTTAGATATTTCGTCATTAATGAGCGAGTATATCTTCGCTTTTACATGTATCAGCCATTAGTCTCCCTTAGTACGGCCCTATTGCAAAACTGTTCTTAGCTGATATGTCTTGTGCATAAACTACCTCAATGCGAGATTTAATGTTCATAGATTTAATAGTTTTCGGGCCAAATTTCTAAAAACTTAAGTTGGAAAGTGATAAGGTTCCCTACAAAAATACTCAACCTCCTACTTCGTCTTATAGATATAAGTTGTAGAGCTGTTTATTAATGATCATTATTTAAAAAAAAATAAAAACAAAATATGCTATTTTCAGGCTGGTGTGATATATTCTAGGTTTCCAAAGAAACCCAACTTTACCTCTTTAGGAATGGAATTTTCAAAAATATTTTGCAAGAATTGATTTATATTGTACCAAAGAACCAAATATAAAAAACCCCCATTTTTAACTTGAGAAATGATAGTAATACGTACCGACCATTTCAACCCGTCAGGGACTATTTTTTGCAATAAAAGATATTTAACTATCTCAGTCTTTCAGGTCTATGCCCAAATTCATTACAATGGGCATATACTCATACATACAAACTTTCACATTTTTAATATTAGTAACGTTCCATAAAACTAAAAAGCATTTCTCCTATCACGTACCGTTCAACCTGTCCACTTCTACTAAAGGGTGGCCGATATCTAACTGACTGGTTTGTACCTTGAATATTTGTGGAATGAAATAAAATGAGTCCATTTTTTTCATCTTAATCTTTTACTGAAACTTGGAAATTATGTACGAAAACTAATATCAGACAAATGTCCGCCTGTAGAGGTCGCGCAAATCTGAGCCTTCTTGATTACATTTTCTATCACTTTTTGGTAGGTTTCGGGAGGAGTATTTTCAATCGCTTTCGTAATATTGTTCTTCAGCCGCTCTACAGTATTTGGCTTGTTGGCAAGTTGCTCCGTCCTACTGAAACCACATGTTTTGCAGGTTTTATTGTTGGATTTTAGGAGCCAGAGAGTTTTGCACCATATCTCTGTAGAGCTCGCCAGTGACAGTAAGGGAATTACCTGCAGCGTCTTCAAAGGAGTAAGGTCCAATGACACTTCCATACCAAACACTGCACCAAACTGTAACTCGACGAAGATGTAGTAGTCGTTGATGGATGACACAAGGGTTCTCTAATGTCCAGATATGACAATTCTGCTTATTAACAAATCCGTTCATATCGCAGCGGGCTTTATCGCTCATTAGCAGTTGTCGGTCAAAATCGTTATTTTGGGTATTAAGCTGCAATATTGCCTTACTGTATTGTCGGCGACTTTCTTGGTCAACAGGTTGTAGTTCTTAGGTTAACTGGATTTTGTATGGCCTAAATGCAAGTCGTTTTCTAAAATAGTGCATAATGACGTGCGACAAATCCCAGTTCTTGAAAACGGTGTCTGGTAGACGTCTCAGGGCGCTCCACTACAGTTTCACAACTCTCTCGATATTTTCTGGAGTACGAACAGTTCGACCACGGCTCGACCTTGGCAAGTCTTTAATTTCACCTGTTTGTTCAAATTTCCGCACCAACTGACGAACGGTGTTGACATTGAGCACATTATTTCGACTTCGACCGATATCCGCTTCCGAATCGTTGCAACAATCGACCCATTATTTAAGTAAAACGTTTTAACAATACGAACGCATCGTGGGGTCGTGCAGCACTCCATGATGAATTGGACACATGTGCTTTAAACAACTAATACGGCGCCAACTACTGAAATGCGTATAACAAAAATGGCGCGTAATTTAAATCAGCCAGTTATATATTGGCCACCCTCGAAAGAGAAAAAAATGTCAAAAACGTATTTTATCCTGCTTAAAGGTCTTTATATGCAGCCCACACTTCCTTTACGGGCTTGTACTTACCCAGTATTACAGTACACCATATAGGCCAAGAAATACGGAGATCTTGTACAAGGAAATTTTTTTGGTGGTATCGTTAGAATATTGCTTCCTAATAATAAAGTCAAATTAGGATCATGGTAGGGCTGGAGCATTCGTTACCATTTTGGTAAACACGTTTGGTCGAAAATATTTTGTAGAGCACTGAATTCCTATTCACTTTGCATCTATTGAAAATTTGTCGTATAGTCATCAGATTACTAGAAATTGAAGGGTAAAAGTACACGTAATGATATTTCTGCTTATAATAGCTAAACTAAGAATCTAAAAGTATAAAACACCACTATGATTGGGAGGACTTGCTTGAATATCTCAACTCGCCTCAAGTGTTGCTCACATGTTTGGTGTGCTGCCGCCCTGACTACGTTATTTATGTTCGATGCTGTCCAGAGAAGGGCTGTTCGACTGATCGATGACTCTTCTCTAAAAGACAGTCTTAGCACCCTTTCATACCGGTGGGCCGTCGGCAATCTAGCTCTCTTCTACCGCTACACCACCGGGCTTTGCTCCGCAGAGCGCTCTTCCATGATACTGCCGCGCGAACGTGTCAAACTTAATTCATCCAGACTTGGCCGGTACGACCGCTCCAGTGTCCCGAGGGTGTCGAGATTGTGGAACAACAGAGGAGGCTTTTCCCAGTTCTAGTAATCGGATTAACAAAACTTCTTTCGGATCTTCATAGCAGCCGCGGTGTCTTGGCAGTTAGGTTTCTGGCTGCGAGACTGCTTCGGTGTAAAAAAATACGTCTGCTCAACAACTTGATGGTTCTTGAAGTATAAGGAGGGACAGCTGAAAATTCCTATCAAAACAGTCGGGCGACATATTCTGCACGCTACGTGCGTTATCCACATAGTCCGCATCAACCTTTATTTCACGTTGAAATAACTTCATAATCATTACCTATGATCAATAATACCATTTTAAAATGAACACATGTTTCTAATACCGTGTGCAAGTAATGAAAATGTAACATTTTTTGATAGTGTGTTATGTTTCCAATATGGAGATAATGTCACTAACTGCCATTAGTCTATCTATTGGCGATTTGGTCAGTGAGTTGTTTCAGTAACCGTTAGTTTCGATGGGAGGATGGATGTAGTAGACAATGCTGATTTATGGTATTACTCATTTTCCATTGAAATCGTTGCTTACGGCTGCTGAGGCTACGCAGTGACAAAATGCGCAAGAGACAGACTGAAGCTAGTGGTTTGTATTTTCACAATAAAGACATCCTAAAATATCCGAGAATATTACATTTTCGTCGAAGTAAAAAAAGATAGATTCATCCAAAAAATGTACCGTTGTATTCTTGCTCCATAGATAACGACCTGTGGAGTTATCTTTACGTGAAAACACGTTGTATACTGACACGCGGACAACATACATCCAGTGCGGAGTATGTCGCGCGACTGTTTTGACATTTGACTTTCTCTCCTAAATTCCAAGAACCATCAAGGCGTGGAGAAAACCTAACGAAATTTTTTTAAAGGAGCTTTTATTCTCTACAAGAAATGAAAGTAGTCTTTATATGCTTAGGCTGTTAGTTTAGTCGTTAAAAGAGAAACAATCATTACATCTACCTTTACTCTTTTTCTCGTAACTTGTCTAGTATACGTCAAATTTTCATAGAAACGGGATGATAAAGAATTAAATTCACTAGAGAATTGTTTCTATAACTTTTTTACATACGATCCATGGTTTTCGCGATTTATAATCAAACTTGTTTTTCAATATGGCGGAAAATGCTAGTCCTATCATGAGGCCAATTTGAACTTTTCATTAGGACGCAATAATCTAAATTGTCCACAAAAAAATGAGTGTGGTCAAAATTGTAACAAAAATTATCTATTTTCGGGCCTAATATGCGCCTGTTTGCTGCCGTTGTCTGTATTCAGGACAAGATCTATGTGGCATTGATGATAATAAGCATGAAACGTACTTGATCATGATCATAGAACTCGTCCAGCCTGCATCGCATACCTTTCAATCTGTCAAGTTCTTCTGAAGTAGGTTCCTGATCTGAATTCATTGTTATAAATGCTAATATTCAATAATAATTACGTTCGAACTTCCGTCATAGGTGTATTATCAAATCAGAAAGAGTCAGTCTACAACTTGATGTGTATTTTCTGCCACAAGTCATGCACACGACTGCAGATCAGTATATAGTTTAGTTGAATAACTATTGTCTTTCCGACCACTTCATTAAACGACAATTAAACTGATCGATGGTTGCCTCATCATTTGTTTATGGCGTGCATGTAGCGGTAGTTACAGTGAGACGAATATAGTAGCACAGAATCGTTAGGCGACTTAACGAGCTAAATATCCCCGCATCTTTTCAACATAACTAAAAGCATTGACTAATGTATTTTACATACATGTAATGATAGCCAACCTCATGCTATAGTCTGGCGTCCAAACAGAGATCTGGAAAGTACTGGCACATACAAAAAACAATTTTAGGAATATTCTTTACAAAGAGTTAGACTGTTTGCTCCTGCTACTGTCTCATAGATGGCGCAAGGATCTTTAACACCCTTTTGGCGCCTTTCTAACGCCTAATTGGCTGTATTCGGACATTGATTAACGTTTGGTATTCACAGTCAAATAGCTTTTTTATATAGAAGCAGACGGCTAGGCAGAAACTTAAATAAAGAAGTACCACATCTGCTATAAGAGCTTTGTTATTCTGATTTTTGAGCTGCCTAAGGTTGGTAGAATGGGAAAAAGCCACCGACAGACCAACAGACCATCGCAAATGAGTGGAACGGTTTTTCGTGATGTACATCTCATATAAGATCCAAACAACATATCTTATTTTCGATATTCTCGGGATTACAATATTTGTACTTCCTCGCTAGTGGGCGGGGGATGTAAAGTCGAGACTACGCCACATTGTACTTAACTATTTTAGGAAAGGGTCGCTTTGAAGTAAAGTTTTGTCCTTCAAAAATTCTTACTCAATACCTTAAGTAAGGCCCCTTTATAAATATACCGTGTTCCGGGAATTGGCGATGATTGCAGCTCTATTATCATTTTTATATTACCATTACTACATTTGGAAGTAAAGTACCTTATGTATAAGCACGTGGCATAGACATTTTAATAATTTTATACATTCTAATTTATCCTCTCATCTAACACGTTAGGCGATAAAAATTGATCGAACGATTGATTGTATGGTGTGTATTTTTTATCTTTGATTGCTTGGTAAAACCTATATAACCATATCATTCGAGTTCCGATGGTCCTATATTTTTAAACGTTAATATTATTGTGTATCAATATGAAGAAACTTCTGTGTGCGGTTGCCTTACTGTCTGCCCTATGCCTAAGCCAGGTAAGAATGACACAATTTAGCTAAGATTATGAAATTATGGATGACTGTTAGTCAGGTATGTACACGTAAATTATCTAATTTCCCAGAGTTTTATTTGCAAATAAGGCTATATTACATACATCTGCGAGAAAGTAACTGTAACAATCTTTATTATTTTCAAAATATCGTATTTCTTAGTTGTATACTATCTCTGTTTAGATATTATAATAAAAAGATCATATTCAAAGTATTATGGATACATGTTGCAGGCTCGTAAATAATCTTAGAAAATATGATCATAGTATATCGAAGGCCATAGGTACGTTACCTTAACTGGACGAAAATAGATGAAATGTATAAATACCAGCCCCTATGTTGGACTTATAGGGTTCTTTGTTCAAAGACATCGTTATATCTAGAAAGCAATTTCATCAGTAGAGGAAATATGTTTAGAATTATATACAGGGTGACTTTGAAGTTGAGTTATTAATTTTCAGATAATGATTGTAGAAGGAAGATAAACCAAAATATGTGTGTAAAAATAAAAAAAAATTAAAAAAAAATTTACCTTGTTTTATAAAGTATCCTCCCGACAAGTATTTCAGTGCGGACCTGTATTTGATCGTGAGGTCTTGGAGCACCGGCATGCCGTCCCCTGTGATGTCTTAAGTCACCTGATTCACGAGCCCGTTGTACTACATTAACAAAGGCACGAGGGGTTGGTTGCACTCGATTGGGAAACCGATCCGCATAAACATGTGCCATTTTTGATTTCGTTTGAGCCACGCAACAGACACCACTATTCACTCACGCGTTACCGACTGACACTGACTGTATACGTATACAACTGAATAAAGTAATTGTAAAAACATCGTTCCAAATTCTTTCGCTCTTTTGTTTCCGATGCGATGAACCGATAAGGCGGATTATATCGGTTGTTGCCAAGCACGAGCACATATTATTATTGAGACAGGGCGGTACTCAAACTTCCAAGGGGCTATAACTTTGTTACTTTAATTTTACCAGAAAAATGGTAAAGGAAAACAACATTTCTTTTGATCAGATCTACTCACTGTTAAAATAAATGACTCAACTTCGTCACCCTGTATAGAGAGACTTTTTCAATCTGACGCCACAGCACATTTCAGAACACATGTATTTACAATGCAATCAAATTATGCATTTGCATAAAAAAGCTTTTATTTGTATTCAAAGAATCAAGGATTAACGAGATTTTCATATTGGGCGATTCTCATTTTAAGAAAGTGATAGCTGTTACCGCAAAATGCTAAAGAAAGGTACATCATCACGAACACCCTTTTGTAACGACCTGTTTGTAAAAATAATTATAATTTGTTTCTAGTCGATTTAATATAGCAATTATTACAGACCCTAATTAAATACTATTTACAAGGGTGTTGAGCTATTTCGGTGTACTTGTAGATACAGTGGCTCAAAAACCAAGAAACATATTTATTTTGCAATAATATCACGAATTTGCTATTCCAGGCTAGAGCTACAGATAAACTGAAAGTCACTATATACTACGAGACACTGTGCCCAGCGTGCATGAATTTTATTTTAACTGGCTTGTATCCAGCTTACTCGGAACTCGGGAGTTACCTAGACTTAGAAATGGTCCCTTACCAGTGGGTGAGTTTAACGTATAAGTACTACGATAAACATATGACTAAATCATCGTGCACCGATTAATAAAAATGAAACAGCCAGAGAGCTAACACATTGTTGGAAGAATTGATCTGATACAAGTTGCAACTGACCTCGACGAATATCGATCATGGAACAAGTTATCAGGATTTGCAAAGCACTTGCGTTGAGCTGCATAATCGATTAAAAATCTGTAAGCTGCTTGCACTGCTTTTTTTGGAAGACAACGGATTATCTAGACCTAGATGGAAGCCTCTAACTGAATCCAACAATTTAAGTTGAGACTAAGCCCCATCTTTGAAGTATTTTACATGGATGGAGTATAATATAAAACCTCATTTTGAAGCACCTCATACGTACTTCATAATCATAAACGACAGCATTTTGTTTATTAGTTGTTCAGTATACAAAAACGATCAATTTTGACAGCCCATCTGCCCGCTATTTTGGAAAATAGCAAGTTTATAGTCTAGGATGATAAAGTACTGATCATGAGCTTTGAAATGAGGTGTCACACAACCCCCTACCATTTAAATAAGTTTGATTACCCGGAATTTCAGTTTGATAGCTGGACCCGTTCAAAAAATAAGTGATGTATGTGAAAAGCACTGTATAATTAAAAGTTATGTCTAGTGGGAAATTTGCTTGAATAAGACTAGATCATTATAGTAATTTTCAGTGTCGTGAATCTGAAGGTGAATGGACTTGCATGTGTCAACATGGCAACGACGAATGCCTTGGTAATACGTATGCTAGCTGTGCGTTTGCTAACTATACAACCAAGGTAGCTTTAGAGTTCATACATTGCGTAGAACAAGAGGTTGCTCCAGACGAACCGATGCCGTTAAAACAAGTAAGTTTTTCTTATCATACAGTTATACAATTTTTTATTCCATAATCTATTATATACTGTAATTATACAACAATATTACCAAACTACTAAGAGTCTTAAATATGTGAATATGGACATGCGGACAGGATTACTGATAATCTGCCGTATTTATTCCAGGTACTGATAGGGGATTTTTCAACAATCACCAGAAATTAGCCATTAAGAAATAAGAGGTAACTATGTAACTCATTTGATTTTTGTCACTTATTCCTTAAATTAGCATATACAGGGTGACTTTGAAGTTGAGTCATTAATTTTCAGATAATGATTGTAGAAGGAAGATAAACCAAAATATGTGTGTAAAAATAAAAAAAAATTAAAAATTTTTTTTACCTTGTTTTATAAAGTATCCTCCCGACAAGTATTTCAGTGCGGACCTGTATTTGATCGTGAGGTCCCCTGTGAGGTCTTAAGTCACCTGATTCACGAGCCCGTTGTACTACATTAACAAAGGCACGAGGGGTTGGTTGCACTCGATTGGGAAACCGATCCGCATAAACATGTGCCATTTTTTATTTCGTTTGAGCCACGCAACAGACACTATTCACACGCGACACTGACACTGACTGTATGTACGTTATAACTGAACTGAATAAAATAATAAACTGTACACAAACATCGTTCCAAATTCTTTCGCTTTTTTGTTTCCGATGCGATGAACCGGTAAGGCGGATTATATCCGTTGTTGCCAAACACGAGCACATGATATTGAGACAGGGCGGTACTCAAACTTCCAAAGGGCTATAACTTTGTTACTTTAATTTTAACAGAAAAATGGTAAAGGAAAAAAACATTTCTTTTGATCAGATCTATTCACTGTTAAAATAAATGACTCAACTTCGAAGTCACCCTGTATAGTGGTCGTAGATAGAGATGGGCCAAATCGTTGCTATTGGAGATTCGATCTGATGATTTTGATTCCGACCTCGGATCGTTCACGATTATTATTCGGGCTAAGCATCCTCTGCTTTCGCCCATCCGGCCAAAGGCAGACAACTATGGACAGCTGTTTCGAGCTTGGCTACTCATCAGACTGGTCTAGGCTAGGCTCTCTTGGACAAGGAACGAAAGATTAACAACTATACACTATCATTTCTGTTTCGATAAATATCCTGTTTTGGCATTGCAGTCGATTCCTTGAATTCGTTTACGATCCTGATCCCTTTTGATTCCAGTTGATTTTGAGTCTAGTTACTGTCGATTCCAACTCGGGTTTCTTTTGATTAAGTTGTAGAGATTGTCTTACCCAGAACATCGATGCGTTCGATGCTATGCTTTGGAAACAATCAGCAATCGAACCTACCATAATTTGTGGAAAAGTTTGTAGTTGGTGGTGTGAAAAACTTATCCATTACCCACATCGCTATAAAATTACGAAGAAGACCCTATCTATGCATTGTTGCGAAACATTTTCAAAAAATGAAAATACATTAACAGAAGGAACAGCCAGTCTAAGGGCCAATTTCACCAACATTAATATTATGGACCAAAGGGAAAATACCTTATCGAAATGCAATTAGACGAAAGCTGTCAAAGGTCTCTGAATATTAGTGATTTCTATTGAAATATTGAATAAAATCGTGAAAATTCGACTGTATTATAAACAAGACCACTTTTTGATTCCAACATGATGCTTTTGTGCAGAAAAAACAGTACAACTTTTATGTATTTTGATATATGTTTTAGATTTACATTTAACAATTCGTTATCCCCCTACGCGAATGGGAATGCGGCAAATAATAGGGCGATTTTCTAGCTGTTAAATTTGGCAGCAGATTTGGACGTTTGTTAATGTATGGCACTCTTGAATTTACCAACTTCAGTATACTGAAAGTTATCATTACATACCTGTTGAATAGTGTGGATTTGTCTGTATTTTGCAAGAAGATAGAATATAAAATACATTCCATCCAATTCCCCATCTTCCTTTACGTCCTAATAGTAATCATTTATTAATTTATGGAATAATGAATTTCTCCAAACCAATAAAAACATTATGTCCTCTCCATCCTAAAACACAGATAATACGTGTAAGACATGTCATTCCCTACATCTCCTGACGCATAATGCAATTACTATGGACATAGACAACAAATTATGAAAAATGTTTTTACAGATAATGGCTTTTAAGTCCAAAAATCAAAAAAACTAGTAATGTTTATTGTTTGTCTATTCTTCTTTTTTGACTGGCGGGGATATCTATCTGACACTCGTAGGGTTGCCAAGTCTAACAACGATCACGTCCCGTAGTGGTGGGTGCGAAATGAATCTTTTACATTTGCTGGTTTTGAATTTTTTTCGTGAAAATTTACTAGGTACCATGATTATAAGCATCTTTGGTAGATTGTTCAATCCGAAATGGGAAAGATCTCCTATTTATGAAAATATTTTTGGTATCATCTAACCGTTGCAATCAGTGCACAAAGACTGTGACATATGATTTATAGCATAACCCTATCAATACAAATTTAACATACAGGTCGCCTAGCCGTGGGGATACAGTGGTCGGGTTGAATAACACGGCAGCAACTGATGATTTTTGCATGTCTGGTAACAGCGTATGAAGTGAAACTCGCTAACTTCAAAAATTTGAAGATTTTTTACAATTTCTTTGAAAATGATGAAAGATATGTCTGATTTGGCAGGGTAATGTCGCAGCCAAATGGCAGTCACTCTTTCTAATACAGTCCGGATCGAAAGATGACAATTCTCGTGAAATGTATTGATACTTCTAAATATAGGATCGAATCGAACATCCCTACTGTCAAGATGTATAACCCAAGGTACCGACGGAGCTATATTGCGGCGTCAAGGAAATAATTTTAAATTTTCATTTGCATTTTTTCAAGTGTTGTGCAATGATTTTGGGAAAAATGTCACGAATAGTCTTATAAAACATAGTAGAGTATATTTCAACAGTTGGTGGAACTTACTTCACTGGGACCAGGAGGGTGAAACGGGATATTAATGCACAATCTGGCAATCCTGTCGCACCCTCACAAAATGGTCGCTGATAACCACACAAGTCACGTGTTGTCATTGAATAGCATGGAATTAAACCTTCAGAGTATAATATGTTTTGTGACTGGTACCAAGACTTGACAGATCCCACACATGTGTCACTCCTTGAAATGCAATAATCAGCTGTATTCAAATAATGTCTAATATAAATATAACCTAGAATGTGTACTCGTGTAAAAAGAAAAATATGGCAAATTTGTAGTTTTTTTTGCAGGTTTTAGGTTTGATGGTAGCTTTAAGGCGTATATTTGGGAATTTATTAATCGCTGTGAATATAGTGTGGATGTTTGTTCAGTTCCTGAACAACGAAAAATATTCAACTTTATGGATGTATGGATATAAAAGAACCTGAATGGTTTTGTGGGAATATCAATCTAAGGTGCCATAATGGTTCTGATGAACGGCAAGTAAATGAATGAATGTTTGGAAACGAGCAATATCTTTTGGTAGATCCTGTCATTAAGTAGGTGCTTAATGGTTATCTGCAAGAGGTTTATAGGAAAAAACACCCAGTATCACATACCAATTGAAGAAAATAATACAAACATGAATTTAATTCAAAAATCAAACATTTCTTAAAATCTTGACTGAATTATATGTAATTTCTTAATATTCAATAAGCTGGTGATGTTTCAATGACAAGTTGTCATCTCATACTTTGACAGTATTTTGTTTTCAACATTTCATAGCTATTGGTTGCTAAAATTTGTTGATTGGAACTTGAAGCTCATTCGCTGTATCTGACGGTCTGTTACCCTATAGGTGGAGAATAACGGATTGTTGTTGGTCAAATTGGTACAGCGTCGCAAACTGTGTTTTTAAACTTTATAGTTATAAGTTGTACCATATGACTCAAAAGTGCCTATGAGGATTTTACTTCAACTTTCCCATTTATGCTCAAAATAGAATATACTCGTATATGTTTTTGTTAGTTATGAGTTATTAGCAAAAACATATGACAACACGTCTGTTCAAAAATTTCTCCAAGTAAGTGGTTCTTTTTTCACTGGATTATTGTTCCTTGCTCCTCGAATTTACAGTACCCAATCCAGCAGTCTAGTGTTCTGTACCAGTTGGTACAGTTTTTCTGCCGGTACTGTTTTAACTTCCTCGGTTTTAGTCTTAGTTTCTCGAAGAATTGATGTCTTTTGTGATGCAGCGTCCTGTGCTCACATAAGACATGTAGGGCTGATTCTGTTCCTTTTCCACATTGTCTGCAGCTGAGGTTTCAATCGTAGATCCCCATTTTGCTCAAGAGCATCTTGAAATAAAAATTCATGATATTGAAAGACGTGTGGAGAACAAAACAGGCTTATCTCCTAAGACAATTTTCAACATTGTTGAAAGGTATAAAAGAAATTGTCTCCACCACACTGCTGCATTACACGAAGCTGTTGGATACTGTTGATAACTTTGATCGGAATGGAATCAGAAGCAAAGTTCATCAATTTTTGGAAAGGCAGGAACTTCCCACCATAGACAAGGTATTAGAGGATGTGAATAGTGATGACGACTTATTCACTTTCAAAAGGACCACATTCTATAGTTTACTCAGATAACTTCATTTTGAGACGGGGCAGAAATGGTATTTTGATGGACAGTTAAGAGATTGTTTTATGGATAAGACATTATTTAAAATCAATGAAGAAATACCGCATCAGGACAGGAAGATTTATTACTTGGATGAAACTTGGATAAATGCAGGACAAACAAAACTTAAAGTGAGGGCTGACTCTCTACAATTGAATCAGCAAATTCTCAGACGGACTAACTACTGGCCTAGGCCTAAAGAATCCGTCAGGTACGTGTATCTAACCAGTTCGTCATTTTTGTTGTGAAAATGGTGTCAAGTAGACTAAATCTATGAGCCCACGCTGAAAACTTAGCTACACTAAACTTAGCTAGATCTGGTGGATTTGCAAACCAACACCTGTTAGATACATCGGCTTGTATTATTATTAGTTTTCTTGAATACTATATAAAATAATCATTCATATCCAGGAAATGGAAAACGATTTGTTATCTGTCACATTGGCAGTGGAGATGGCTTTGTGCCCACTGCCCAAGGGCACTTAAGAGAAAGAAAACGACCAACTACATTGAAGAAATGGACCGGAGTTCGCTTGAACGATGGTTTGAAGATACGCTCCCAAAGCTTGAGGACAATGCCGTCATTGTACTTGATAATGCTGTAGACTACACTAGAAAACCAGAAAAAATTCCCACAATGTCCACAAGAAAGGCTGTAGTTCAACAATGGCTCCTATCCGAAGAAATTAGTTTAAATGAAAATATGTTCAAAGCAGAACTTATCCTTCTAGTCAGGCAGTACCAATACAAATATAGTTATTGATGACATGTCTGAAAACCAAAATAAGCCCGTTTTAAGGCTACCCCCTTATTGCGAATTAAATCCCATTGAAATGATTTGGGGAAATATAAACAAATATGTGGCTTCAAACAATAGAACATTCAAATTTTCTGAAGTGAAAAATTTGTTTTATGAAGCTGCCAGCAGAGTGACGGCAAACCATTGGAAAGAATGCATCCGTCACGTTCAAGAGACAATCAAAACAATGATGGGCCTCTGAACAATGTGATAGATATTTAAATTGAACCTGTAATAATTAATATTAACCATTCGATCGATGATTCAATTACTTCCAGCGAATAAAGAGTTGTGAAAAGAATGCGCACTTCTTTCTATAAAAATAATCATTTATTTTGTTAGATTATTCCAAGGTCATTGGGGAAAATACGGACCTGCACAATCTCGCTTCTGAGCATGTTGTGTTTTGTCTCGGCGTAAATTGACTATGAATGGAGTATAGTATTTGGGTGGAATGCTCCTTACCTAATTATCTTTTAGAACGTTCTTCAGTGCGCCACTGCAATCAATGGTGTCTATTCTTGTTGCATTAGCACCAATATTCGGGTTTGCCTAAATCCGATTCGACATGTTTTCGAGGAATTAAAGCATCAATCAAAGAAGCTAGAATCAAAATAAGCGTCGTAGTTTAAACGGAAACCGAAATAATCGGAATACGTATCGAAGCCACCTAGATTGGGTTTTTTGAGACAATTTTGATGCTATCTCACTTTTTGCTCCTGAATCGTATAGGTACGATTTTCATTTCAACATACAGTCCAGGAAAAGGGTGGTGATGGATGTGAAATTGTTGGTGCAGATGTCCTGCTAAACTAGGTCATCTGGGGCGGTATGTTAAACACGTTGTTGAGAGATTGTTCTGAATCTCAACTGGTATATATTCACTAGCCTTTCATGCAGTGGATCATCTAGTAAATGTTGGCTTCCTTTGGGTTAAGCAGCAGGTGAGAGATTTGATGACCTGCAATTGAAGTAGGAACGTTTGAAAACATTGGCCAGGGTCTAAGACACATTTATGCCAACCAGAACAGTCTAGATAGTCTATGGCCAGTTTCAAGAACAAAAAACAATCAGATGGTTAGTGCTGACATTAATTTCGGAAATGATAATTACTTTCACCAGTTTGAAACGTATAGAGATACCTCCTAAAACGGGTTTTCAGTTAAATGTGAATCTCTATAGACACGGTTCATAATTGGAATTATAAGGATATGACGAGGGGGGCTCAAACGTTAGTTACGCGACCTTGCCCATATGATCGGCTAGAGAAAGCATTATAACACCAGAATATCATGAAATAATTATAAGAGTTTTCCATAGCACTTTGAATTATTCTGGCAAATTCAAGCGAAAATCTCTGCAATTTTTGTTTTGTGACATCTCGTCAGACCAAGTGCCTTAGTGCAGGCACATTTCATTTGATCGCGGTGCGCTTTAGAGCGTCGTCTAGAGTAAAGATTCACCTGCCCCAAAATCACAATAAAATTATTTGGTACTTCAAAGATTGAAATAATTAAGTTGATCAGTTTACTCTATTCGTTCTGAATGTTCGGACAGTATAATCCAAAGAATCAATTCTTGAAGTATTCCCCCATGTTTAGAATAACCGTTTTTTGTATAATGAGAAATCAATGATGTATCCCCCCTAACCAGCATAGTCAGTATATCCTAAATTTTCTGTTCTTTCAGTGTGCAAAACAAGCAAACATATCTTATGAAGACTTGAAGCAGTGCGCAGAAACCGAAGGTTTGGAAATGCTCATAGCTGCTTTCAAGAAAGCACAGGACTTTAAACTACCATACCTGCCCTTCACCTCTTTTAATGACAAGTTCGATAGGTCTGCTAGCATTGAAGCCTTCAAGGACTTCAGGAAGGCTGTGTGTAGACGTCTCTCAAACCGTCCTAAAGAGTGTTCTACTGAGTGAAATATATATTTCGCTGTAGAAGCATTCCTCTTGTACGCTCCTATAAATACCCAATAAATGATACAATGAAAAAATGTGCTTTATTGAGAAACCTGCCACTAGTATAGAAAACTATAAATATTTTTTGAATAATCTTTAATATTTAGTTTATATTTGAAGTAGTTTTATTATGAATGGAATATGTGGGCACATTTCTAAAGATTAGAAGTATACTATTATACAGAGTGTCTCATATATCAAAGTTGACTTGTTTAATAGATTCCCCCACTTCTTAATTCCTCATGGTTGCAAATGCTAATTTTTTTACTGACTTGATTGAGACGCGTTTGCCACATTTCGTTATGCAGCCGTGGTTTGTTGTTATAAAGAGCAGTAGGCATATAGTTTTGTTGATTAATGGGCGTGATTAACATCATTTCTGATTCTACGAGTACCAGTTCAATAGCTTGAAGTAGATCACCAGGAGTTGTGGTGCTAACCAGCGTTTCATCAACGTAGTTGATCATGTAGCCAGATATATTTAGGTCGTTTATGTTTAGAACGAAAAGGAGTGGTTCCAGTTCTGAAACTTGAACCGCACCAATGTTTACGTTATACTCTCCCGACAAGCAGTCAGTTACTCTCGTTTTGATTTGTTTGACTATTTGACAAAATGGAAGGAAGCTAGCCTGAAAGAAAGAAAACCTTTAGAAATTTCAAAAGAATGGCGTCAAGTAGGTTGACTCTGCATTTCTCATGCAACGCCGTTATCATTTCATAAAGGATGTTCAGCACCAACTAGGCCCTCTGAGAAAAAAGTCAGCCAAACACGTCCATACAATTAGTCTATAGACTTCTTTCCCTGCGATGGAGAAGTATCTCCAGACATTTCCGCCAGGCACGAGAACTCATTGAAGGGCCCAGTGCTAAGGATGGACGCTTCTGCCTATCTCTGGATAGAGCCAACCTAAGGTTGCTGGTGGGACTGTTGTCTGGCCATAACACGTTAAGGCGTCACCTGCACGTGATGGGGGTGGCTGAGGATCCCTTGTGTGAACGCTGCGGAGTAGAGGAAGAGACATCGGCGCACGTTTTGTGTCGCTGTGAAGCTCTGAGCTACTATAGGCAGACTATACTCGGGTCCATTACTTTGGACCCCCAGGACGTCAAGGAGCTTGGACTCAAGGCGATTCTCAACTTCGCTAAAAGGGCGAGGCTGGTGATCTAAGGATAAGTCTATAGACATTCTTTCCCTGCTCTATCGATGCTACCGTCCATCTGGCAACGCCGCCCGCCTCCATACTTCACCGCTTCACGAAACCATTCGACAGCCTCGGCAACACGGCAGCGACGGCACGACACTCATCAATAAGACCAATGACGCCGAGAAAGCCAGAGAGCAGAGACGCGTGTCGAAGATATTACTCTATCAGGAGAAATATATATCTAATTGGTGTAGTAAATTACCAAACAACAGGTCTCCCCGGTCAGACGTGGCAGCTCGGTCAGGACATAGGGAACATTATGGAAAGCATAACTGCATTTTCGAGCTATTAAATAAAACACTACGCTGTGTATATAATTGTTTTAACATACTATAGGCTGAGGAGGAAGCTTTATTCATATGGACACTAAGGGCCGTATCGTCAGTCGTTTCTACAATTGTAGGACGCCTTTATGGCCTCCTTGATTGTCATACTCCTTTCTCTCCTTCAAAAATTTCTAGATTACACCTGTTCTGTGTCTGCATCAGCGCTCTCCTATTGTGAAGATACGTTTCCTTTTTAAATTGTAGGAAATTTCAGGCTGATAAAACATGGTACAAATCAAAAACATGCACAATTTATAACCTCAAAATAGAGCGCTAACACGGAAAAGTAGAAAACTATGACAATCAAGGAGCCATAAAAGCGTCCTACAATAATTGTAGGAACGACTGACGATACGGGCCTAAACTAAGTCGAAGATCTGAATCAAACCATGATCTCAAAGTTTTGTTCCCACCAACTACTGGTAATGGTATAAGATTTAATACTCAAATTAAGTGCGCCCTCAATAATCATACGTGTTTGCTTAGAGCCTTTGATTTATTGTCGTTAAGACTTAGATTATGCGCAGTTAACAAATTAATAAATGTACATCAAATAATTGAGATAAACCCCCCCATCCCCTATAACTCCTACCACCAAGTTTTTCACCTCTAAATTTTTTTTCAAAAATGATCAAGATCCTCTGAATCGATAAAAAACGGAGTTTGAACGACTTTCATTCTTTTTCGTTGTTGAATTTTTCTCTGCCACCACTTCACCGATTTTCACACTCTACAAAGCTGCTTCTCCTAAGCGCGCATGTAAACGTTTCAAGTATTACTTTAGTAAAAAAGCGGTCGATTTCATTCACACTGCTCGAAAACATGTGTCGACACAGTTGATGGAAAGTATGAAGATTTCAGGAATTTACATTGAGTTAGACCAAGCACAAGTATTACCTTACATAGTATGTCTATACTCTGGGCGCTGAAGAAAGACATTAAACGTAAACAGTGATCAGCACGTGAACAGATCCCTCGAAAGCATCCACGGATATACTCCAGTCACTTTAGGTCTAAACATCCTCGGCAGTGTATTTCTAGTGAATCCACAGACCCTTTTTCGTGTCATCTTGAGACTAGAAAAAGGATGACTGTTAAAATAAGTTACCTTGATCTTTCATGAGCTCCCAGTACAAAACATCATCGATATATTTTTGATGTAGGAACAACAAATTGGTTTAGAAAACATCCACTTTGAACCTAAATTGACTGGAGTAACATCGATCTACAGACAAATTCAAGGTCACTAGCAGTCGTCGGCGCTCTACGAATCTGCACAGGTTTGGACTTGTAAACGTGATTGTAGATGACACGACAGGCATCTAACAGTTAATTCAAGCACAGGATTGCATTGCATACGCATTACGCATTCAGTAGCGTATACTCGTTTTTCGCAAGTGGAACGTTTTGTTTATATATTGCCTAAGATACGATGTCTGACACAGATACAGCCGACGAAGTGGTTGACATCAGCGCAACCCCACCCAAAAAGAGGGCCAAGAAGCTACATTTAAGTGCAAATGAAAAACAAATAATATTAAATATATACAAAAACCAAATTCAAGAAAAACCCGATTTGGTCGTGGACGAAGTTATATGTAAGGTAGCACATATTTCTGGAGTATGTCGGTCCAGTGTTTATAGGATCATTAAGGAATATAGGAGCACTCACTCACTTTCTGAGCCAAAACCGTATCCTGCAAGAAAAAGGATAACGGACGGAGTAGATGACTTTGACAGAACTGCCATCAGGAGGAAAGTGCATAATTTTTTCTTCCGAAATGAGATACCTACAGTAGATAAGATATTAAGATTAGTTAATGCTGATGAGGATCTTCCATCATTTAAAAGAACCACATTCCGAAAACTTTTGAAGGAACTTAATTTTCGATTCTTGAAACGGGGAAGAAACAGTATGTTAATAGAGAAAGAAGAAATTGTTGTGTGGAGAAGGGAATACCTTAGGAAGATTCGGAAGTTTCGCGATGGAAAAAGAAAAATTTACTATTTGGACGAAACGTGGGTGAATGCTGGACATACTCAAGCGAAAGTTTGGGCCGACAAATCAGTAACATCATCAAGGCAGGCTTTTCTAGACGGTCTTTCGGCTGGATTGAAAAATCCTGCAGGTAAGCTCCTTCATCTATCCGGCAATTTAATTTTGATAAATTCGGGCAAATAATATGCTGTGATAGCAGATAATGTGTGATATTCTCCAAAAATGGTGCATTCGCAGTGTAGTCATTAGGAAAAAAACTTCGACCCTCTTTTAAGCGTTATTTTGAAATTTATTATCATTTTTGGGTGCAGTCAATTTGCTTTGAATGGGTTTTGAGAAGTTGCAAACTTCAATTTTCTACGTTTTTCAGTTTTTGATCAGCATTCCGTGACTCTTAAATTCAGCTAAATGAACTCAATTGCCTCATTCCTTCAAATTTAATCAATCCATAGTGTAAGGAATAATTTATTTCCAGGAAAAGGCAAACGGCTGATCATTTGTCACGTAGGTAGTGAAGACGGCTTTGTTCCCGAAGCACTGTGGGCCTTTGAATCAAAAAAGACAGGGGACTATCATGAGGAGATGGACCGCAATTCCTTTGAAAATTGGTTCTCCAAAATGTTACTAAAGCTGGAGAATAACGCTGTTATTGTACTGGATAATGCCCCGTACCATTCTAGAAAAATAGAAAAAATTCCCACAAAACAGATCGATTTTGATGAAACAATGGTCAAGGGTGAATTGATAAGTATAGTCAATAGACATAAATACAAATACGATTTTAAAATGATCGACGAAATGGCCAAAAAACAAAATAAAACTGTCTTGAGACTGCCACCCTACCATTGTGAGCTGAACCTTATTGAGCTGATTTGGGCCAACATAAAGCAATACGTGGCGTCGAATAATAATACTTATAAATTTTCTGATGTTAAAAATCTCTTTCACATCGCAGTCAATAGAGTTACGGCAGAGGAATGGAAAAACTGTATCCGCCACGTTCGGGAGAAGGTTGAGGTCAAAATGTGGGATTTGGACAATGTCATCGATACCCAAATTGAACCTCTAATAATTCATTTAAACGATTCAGAAGATTCAAGTTCCTCTTCTGAATGAGTGCGCGCAGCTTACTTACTAATAACTAAAAAGTGTAGTTAACTCATTTGTGAATCTCTAACTGAAATTTACTGTAAAAGATAATAATTATCTTGTATGAAATTTTTGATGACTACCCATAATATCTTGATGCGGTCCTGTAATGTCTCCTGCGCCTAAACACTCACTCACGAGCAATATGCGTGTATTTGTTTGGGTTTAGTTTCTTTCTTCAGCGCCTAGAGAATAGGTACACATATACCTTGCTAAGGGCAATGTGTACGCCACTGTTTAGAGGAAACTGCATTCAAATTATATATTCATTATGACTGCCATTTTCAAAATAAGTACCAACAGACGTTACAGTGTGAAAACTTAGTTTGGTGGAAATTTTGGGTAATTAGCATCAA